TCGAAACGTCCGGAAATAAAATCCGTAACTGATCCAGTAGTAGAGTTTGAATTTTCTTACGACTGAATGAAATATTTGTGTGACTAACTTGACAGTCAGCTACAGGTCGTAATGAAGTATACCATCGAACGGCAACGCAGATGAACTTACATGCTAAGAAGTAATAGTATTGGGTACTAAGGACGCACAACGCATCTTTGTCAACCATGCAAAGTAACACGATCCTTTGGGGTCACGTGGCGTAGCGGCAGAATGCTCAACTCAGAACCATAGAGGTCCCGGGTTCGAGTCCTGACATGCCACCGATCTTGTGCCCTTGGGAAAGGCCCTTTACTCGACTTTTCTCACTTAACTCAAGTGAAAATGAGTATTGTCCTGTCATGTATCTGTCCCGTGTTGGTGGCGGCATTGATATAAGTTGAAAAAACTTGAGTGTGTCGTCACCACGTCTGGTGATTACATGTTGGAATTAAAAAAACAACTTCCAATCCCTGAGTGAAGCGAGGTGTATGATATTTACTGGTAGTGAAACCATGCGAAGGACCGGTGCAATGGCCAAGTGGGTAGAGTGTTCGCCTTGCATTCGGTAGGACGTGAGTTCGATCCCCGGCCGAGTCATACCAAAGACTTTAAAAATGGTACATACTGCTTTCTCTGCTTAGCACTCAGCATTTGGGAAAGAGTTTGGGACTTAAACACATACCACTACCAGTGGACTAGCCCCCTGCTGTAGTGACTTCTGTATGTGGCCCAGGGCTAATGAACGGAGATGGGCGCCGCCCTATGCCGTCACTTGACGCGGGAAGGCTCTTTAACTAACTTTTTGAACCGTGCGAAACGAACCTCTGTACAGCGTCATGGCCGGCCGGGTGTACCACCAGGTGAGCGCCCCGTCATCAGCCCAGCGCCACGTCATGCCGCGTGACGTCATGTACCGCTCTACGTCATCCCTGCTGTCCGTGCGGAAAATCTGATAGTGAGTGAAAAAAAAAACACGTTTTACTCTTAAGTTCATATTTTTTTACATTTGTAGTTATTCAACTGTTTGTAATGCTTTTTTTTAAGTCAAAGATAGATAATTACTGGAAGGGGAAGAAGTACAACGTTAACCCTACTTTAGCGGATATTTATAGGCAATTCCTCTCAATCCGAACATTATGTATGCATGTGTGTATGTATTGTACACTTTTGGTGAGTTCTTAGATCTTCTGACCAATAGATGACGCCATGTGTCTCCAAAGGTCCCTTCGTGTTGAATAATGACTATTTAACCCTGACGAAGACCGTAGTACACAGGCGTCCAAAGTTTCCTTTTTACCAGATGAGTGCCTGCAAAACCTGCACAACTGACCACTTCTACATATACATATACATGTACATGAGAACCACGTGGCAACTTTTGGGTGGTCCTTCAGATAATTTTTAATAATAAGTGACACTAGCATTTAGAATCTTGTCTAATGTCTATCCAAATAGACCAGTTTATTTTATCGGATCGCTGAGTGGTCTTTTTGGACAGTTTTGTCTGAATCTCTCAATCGACGATTCATGTTTGAGACAGTTTAGCTAGTAATAATGATTTTGAAAGACACGTTTTAACTTTTATCCAGTTTGAAAAGTCTAAAATACTTACTATTACAATTTGGGAAGATTATGAAGCAAGTTTAAACTGCAATTTCCAACACAACAAATCTACATCAGGGCATTACAACCATCCCTCAACAGAGACGGGAGGCACCACAGACTTTCTGCAACCTATGATCCACTGCTCACGGAGTCACGTGTGTTATCTGCGTGACGTCACAGAAGTGGTGGGTTGCTCATTCCTTGACAAAGACTGGGGCTGTACAGTCGAAAATTTGGGTGCGTCCAATTTGTTGTGTTGGAAATTGCAGTTTAAACTTGCTTCATAATGATTTCTACCAACACAGATGAACTTTGAAGATAAAATTTGGGGAAGATGATGCAGAGTAAAAACTCACGCTTTTCCACGTGTTGAATCCGTGAAACGCTTCCGAACTTTCCGGCATGTGACGGTGATACCGGATGCCGAGACTCCGGAATTTGGCGACGACCGACGGATCGAGTTTCCGGAGAATCTGCCGCACGTCCGCCATGACACTTTCTCCGCCGCATCCAGGCTCTGCCGGCTCCAGGCAGAAGAAGAGAATCTGCAAAAGTGCCCAGAATAACATAAAGGTACGAAGGCCCACAACGACACTTCCATACACCTCTTTCACAGTGGCAGGGCTGTCGATGAGGTGTATGGAAGTGTCGTTGTGGGCCTTCGTATGAAGGTGTCGGTTGCCGTGGGAAGATGATTTTTAAAATTTAACAAGAAAGCCATACATTATTAGGCCACAGCAGGTAAATTTTAGACTCCAAATCTAATGCAATATGGCGAAAAAAACAAAGCGGGCCAAAAAAAAAAAAACAAGATTCCTACACACATCTCGAAATTGGGGTGGCGTAGCTGTAGCGTGGACGGCTCAGGACCAACAGGTCTCGGGGTCGAATCCTACCCATGCGTCACCGATCTTGTGCGATCTTGGGAAAGGCACTTTACACAACTTTCCTCACTTCACTCAGTTGTAAATGAGTACCTAGCTTCGGCTAGGGACGTGTTTGGGGAGAGACACACCCCACGCACGTTAAAGAACCCACCGCACTTTTTGAAAAGAGTAGGGGGTCCTTCCCAGTGTGAGTAATTCAAACCTCACAGTCCGGTCTTGCGCAGAATGTACTTACATGTACAAAACTGTACGTTACGCCTAAAGTACCTTCTCCGGATAGGGATGTGTGTACGCCATCTCGTTGTGCGTTTCCATGGAGATGGAAGGATGTTCTATGCTCGCCGTGTCCACGTGACCCGTGACGTTGGTTCTCAGCGCTGCTCCTCCCTCATACGTCATAGGCCTCAGACCGGAAGTATTAAAAAATCTGTGAAAAATAATGATAATATTTATTATAATAGATCTAGGGTTTCTTTTGAATCCCCTAAACTTGAAGTAATTTGAATCCACAAGGCCTCCTCTTTCCCTAAGATCATTTCGTCACCGCACTTAGACGTTATAACGTCAAGTAACAATTATTACACTTGGGTGACTGACCAGACGTTAGCCAAGTTAAAAGACGTTGAAGCAAAGCTAGACAGTTCTTAACCAACCAACCAACCAAGCAAACAAACAACCAAGCAAACAACCAACCAAGCAAACAACCAACCAAGCAAACAACCAACCAAGCAAACAACCAACAAAGCAAACAACCAACCAAGCAAACAACCAACCAAGCAAACAACCAACCAAGCAAACAACCAACCAAGCAACTAACCAAACAACCATTTAAAGACTGAGTCATGCCCTTTCTTGACTGATCCAACAACCATTTCTAAGACCCGTTGCCACTTTACCTTGAGAAATCCTTGGCTGTGTGAAGTGGCAGACCGCGGAGCAGCGCCGCCCCGACACCTCCGTCCACGACACTCCTGACGACGTCTCGGGCCGCGACAGCCCAGTCTTCGGGAGAGAACCGCGCGCCGTCCGCGGGGACGTACACGGGCGGGAAGCCCTCCCCGGGCGGCGACAGGACCTCCGGGACGCCGGGGCTGTCCGAGCCGACCAGGAACCGTCTCCCCCGAAGAGGAGCCGGCGGCTGACCGCTCCAGTCCGCGGCCGTCTCCTGCAGTGTCGGTGCCGCCGCCTCCGCGCGAGGTTTGGACCCGAACGAGCGGCAGCAAAACGCAGCTTGGACGAGTCTAATCTGCCGAGTTCCTGTCTGCAGCCACATCCTTATTCACTAATGAGGCAGTTGATTAACCTCAAATGTTGTGGTGTCTTGTGTTGTGAGCCGGTCGAACCAGTACAGACTAGGGCGTAGGCCTTAAGGCTGTGTACCATTAGTAGTCGGGCTATCAAACAAGCACACAACGTAACAGGCTAGTGGAAGAGCATTCAGACAAGCTGTTTACTGGGCAAACATGCGACCTTTTGGGGGAACATTGACGCTTATATTATAACACGTTTGTTGGGTGACGGCTTAGACTATGGTTGAGCACCAAAGTCCACGGCGGGTACGTATATCTGGTTGACAATGTTGGTCGTTGCATCATTGCTGTTTTTGTTATGCTATAATTGCATCACTGTTTTGTTGACTATTACATCATTTGTACCGGCCTGTGGTCTCACGCACGTGTTTTGTGTGTGCAGAATCAAAGTCCATTCGTGACAAGGGGGAGGGCCAAAAACCTCGGCTGCTAGTCACAGCCGAGTCAAGTTGATAAAATGTCAAGTAACACACGTAAGACTTAACAATGATTGCATCATGTTGAACTTATACCTAGAGTCACATTGAACCCGTGGTTATGTCTCAGTGTGTTTTATTTATCTCGGCAGTATATAAATGCTACACACTACCAAATCATGACAGCATAGTCTTACCCGGTACCCACGCGTAAAAGCCATAGGCGCTGCAGAGATTGTCTGCATTTCGCTCTAAGCTACATTTTCATTATCTTACACATTTGAGCATGTAATGGCTGGGTATAGTTTGCAGAGTTAGAAAACTGCATTTTTACTTATCATAATAAGTACTGTCTTATAGCAAGGACGTTCTCATGATTGAACGTCCTTTAAAACTGCAGAAACAAGCCAAGACGAGTCGTTTATTTTCTAGGTGGTTACCCTAAAAATCAGCCAAGGGCTCTTCCAGTAACAATTTTCCATCAGAATTTTGTAAAATACATTCATATATATGGTCAGACAGGAGTCTAAATCCCTCCTTCTATAAAATTGCAACATTATGTAACCCAACACTTGTTACCACGGTGAGAGATGTCAAAAAATCAGGTCATTGGCCAGGTCAGAGGTCAGTGTTTGGAACGAAAGAAGAGGAAACGTAGCAAAAACAATATGTATTCCTTCGGTAAACATAAAAATGTGCGCAGGTTTTGCTATCACTGCTTTGTTAAGAGATGGGTCGAGCCTGTCTCTCTACCGGTGACGTCAGACTCCCGACGGGAAGCCACCCTTCCTCGAGTCGGAGTGAGCGAAGATTGCCGAAGATTGCCGAACCACGGCTTGCACCATGGCCTCGGGCCACACCGGGATCGCCTTGCCGTGTATCTTCTCCAGCTGGTGTAGCACCACCTGGCGACAAAGAAAGAAAGTGCAGCTTATATATGTATAGATATATAGATATATAGATATATAGATATATAGATATATAGATATATAGATATATAGATATATAGATATATAGATATATAGATATATAGATATATAGATATATAGATATATAGATATATAGATATATAGATATATAGATATATAGATATATAGATATATAGATATAGAGAGAGAGATGGGGGGAGGGAGAAAGAGAGAGAGAGAGGGAGAGAGACAGAGGGAGAGATAGATAGATTGATAGGTAGATAGATAGATATATGCATTCCCAAACGAACAGATGCATCTATAGCAGTGACACCTGTGCTGCAGTGCAATGTGAACCAGTCAGAATTCCCCTGAGGAAGGTGACAGACGGTCACCGAAACGTCGGCGGAAAAAAATTGAACGTGTAAATAGAGTCTTTTTACTCAATAACAAGTAATATGATTACCTCCGGCTTGAAGGGACGTCTTGTCTCATAGTACAGGATGCCCCTGATGTCTTCAGTTACACTAATGTGCAGGCGGGGCTTCTCTATAGCAGAAGAGATGTTCCAACCAAGCAGCAAGTGGTGGACAATTGCCTGTGGGAAACCACATTTACATCAGTTTAACAACTTCAGTGAAGTCATTATAATTAACAGCAATTAGAGGTATGTGATGTTACTAGATTAGGGGGGTTTTCGATGTATTCAGCAAAAATGCTAACATGAACCAATTATTGTCAGACAATATTGTTGGAGGCTCTGATGATTTATGTGACGGAATAGTTTTTATAGAGACAGATAAACCTACTGGACTGATTTGTGAATCGACAGAAAATCATGGGCTCCTAATGATACTTCTCATTTCTTCAAATCAGTCCCCTGGCTTAGAGGTGAGTGACCGCAAGCTCTCAGAGCAGGGGCCATTTAGTCCCGGCCATGATAGTAAAAGGCTTTGTGACTACAAAAGAAGATACCAGTACTTAATTTACCGCTCAACGTTGCTGAAAGACCCCCCTCATCCCCCATGAAGACTCGTTTGTGTAGAGAAACGTCGCAACTTCAAATCAAAGAACATTTCATCAATAAAGTTATCGCCAAAGTCTTTATACATTGTATATATACTTAAGAGCAACTTTATCTGCCGTTAAGCGTTACCAGGACCCCCCATACAGACCCTTTTACGTGAAATCAAGAGCACTTACATCTGTCAATGCGGTTGCGATCCTCACCCCTCCAGAGCCTCCGATCACCAGTCTGACGTCACCGCTACGGTCCAACACGATCGTGGGACTCAAGGCCGTCATACCCCGCTTACCCGGCTGCAACTCACGGCCTGGGGAATATATGAGACGTTTATTGCAAATCCAAGGCATTAAACCGGTACATCTGTTTTCCCTCAAAATACAAAAGTTCTGCTGCAGTACCAAGGTCAGCCACCAGGAGGCCCATATTTGACATTGGCCTTTGGCTTCCTAAGACCTACCAGCATACCAAATATCATCACAATCCATAAAGGCGTTCTGAGGTTATGCTGACTACAAATGTGCGGAAACACACACACACACACACACACACACACATACACACACAGATACGCGCCAAAAACAATACCTCCATTTTTCATGGAGGTAAAAACACGCTTACCTGGCTGCAACTCACGCCCAGGGAAATATGTGACAAGTTAACGTTGAATAGCAAAGTTCTTTGATCACGACCATTCATTTTTCACGAGCCGACGTTTCGATGACCGTCTGTCATCTTCATCAGGGCAATTATGACTGGTTTACTGTGCACTGACGCTAGATGTTACTTGGTGCATAGTGCACTAAATTTGATTTGATTTATTGAAATTGCAACAGTGCAATACACGCGCAACGGCAGCGTGCGCGACTCGGAATCAAGAGGTCCCGAGTTCGAGTCCTGACATGCCACCGACCTTGTGCCCTTGGGAAAGGCACTTTACACGACTTTCCCCACTAGACTCAAGTGAAAATGAGTATTGTCTGCCCAGTATTCGTTTCTATGTGCGGGACACAACACCAGCAACAGCTGCCTCTGTTCCGCGTGTATTCTTGATCTTGATTGGGTACTGCACATGTACAACACCCCTGAATTGGAGTAAAGCGTGCAGGGGAGCTGTGCGATGCGTTATTTCTGCGTCCTCAGATGCTGTAGTACTGCAGCGTTGAACTTCGTGGGTTCCGCAGTATCTGTTATTTCTTGAGGCAAATTGTTCCAGTCTCTGACAGTTTGTGGAAAGTATGAATATTAATAACAGTCTTTATGAAATGTTAGTGGTTTGTATGAGTTGGAGTTGAAGTGTCACGATTGGCGCGGGATAGGCGTCAACAGGGTTTTGACCGGGAGGGCTGTTTTGCACTGTTGCAATTTCAATTTTAAAAAAATTAAAATAAAAAAAACACGCCATACCTGGACTCCAAGAACGTCCTCGCGTTCCGTCTGAATTCCGCTTAGTGAAGAGTTCCATGTGGCTGTTGGGGATGACGCCTGTGGAGGGAGACCGGAATCTCGCGCCGAAACTGCAGAAACGTTTACATGACGTTTAGGACTCATGGTCAGCTACAAGATATATTTATTTATTTATTTATTAAGTTTTACCACGTACAATACTAAGTATGCACTGTGGATGGCAAGGCGAAACAGGTGTTTCTGACATGAAACACCTTTTCAAAGCCGCCATACCAATAAAATGACAAAACAATACAAAAAGTAATCAAATCACATAATAAAATTTGAACAACAAATAAATAAACTTAGAAAGTACAAGGCAAGTCAACTTATTAACATTGATTAAGATCAACATAAGATCGATTAAGGTAGAGGAACAGTAGTTTCCGATACAATATCTACGCGTATCCATGCCAGAACCTTGCCTGGGGCAAATATGCGTCCTTGGATGAGCGGAGACTATCCAGAGCCTCATCGTAACCCTAACCCATTCTGGCATAGAACTAGATAGGCAACGATACGATGACCTGTACCTGTACCAATCTCACCACGCCATATCTATATATTACACCATTTCTATCTCTCTCTCTCTCTCTCTCTCTCTCTCTCTATATATATATATATATATATATATATATATNTGTGTGTGTGTGTGTGTGTGTGTGTGTGCGTGCGTGCGTGCGTGCGTGCGTGCGTGCGTGCGTGCGTGTGTGTGCGTGCGTGTGTGTGTGTAATATTGTCATCGACATACATGTAAAATCAACAATCGTTTCTGAGTGCAATTTGATATCGTTGCAGGTAACCATACAGACCAATGGTATCACTAAAATGTAACGTTAGCCATGTAGCTACAGGGTTAGACATGTTAGTGATTTGGACAGGCTGACTATAAGCTACTTACTAGCGTCCGATGGAGCTGGTAGCCGATACGGCATCTCCGTTTGGCCCCAGGACAGACACATGAGACGTCCCGCCGACGTCTGGAAAGGCGACAGCCGGACCGTAGTGAGAGATGTCGAACATCCTGGTGTCGTCGATCTTGCGGCGGAGTTCGTCCGCGAACTCTTTGGATGCCATCTTCTTCGTGTACTAATCGGGATAAAATTATCAATTGTTTTTAAAATGACGGGGGAAAATACTGTTGATGCGTGAATTGTAGATTAAATCATGTGATAATATTCGAATGAAAGCTCATCTGTGTTGGTAGAATACATAGTTAAAGAGTTTGACTTGTTCCAACACAATAAGGAGAACTCACCATAAATTTTCGGCTGATCCCGTCAACCTTCGTCAGATTTGTGATGCAATCGCTGACTTTCCGGAAGTCGGAAACGTGATGACGTCAGGAGTGCATCAAAAGTGGCGGGAAGACGGTATCTCCCACCATCACGGTTCAGAGAGGGTTGGTGGGCCCTGATGTAAACTGCCTCCTTCACGCCTCTCACAAAGTAATCCTGCTCCGTATCTAGAATGCGCACCTTGTCCAATGTCCCCCGGACATACAGTTACATTGGACAAGGTGCGCATTCTAGATACCTGGGTATGATATGTAGTACATCAGTACTGAATGATATATTGAACAGAACTACGTTTCTTTCTTTCTTTCCTTTTCTTTCTTTCTTTCTTTCTTTCTTTCTTTCTTTCTTTCTTTCTTTCTTTATCTTCGTCTTTATTCCTCCCTTGGAAGAGCTTTCAAATCAACATATATACAACATATATCGATGACATGAATTTGGGAGAAGTTAGAATTGTGTCAACCCCAACTAAACTTCAGACTGACCTTGACTCATTGGACACCTGGGCCGAAACGAACTCCATGTTACTTAACCCCAAAAAATGTAAAGCAATGTATTTCTGCTTCATGAGAACCCCCCCAGTAATGCACCCACTGACTCTCGGAGGTCAGCCACTTAGCATAGTTACACAAGCAAAGTTACTTGGTTTGCACATACGCTCTGACCTACGGTGGTCTGATCAAGTTGACACCATGGTGTCCAAGGGCAGTAGAAGGTTATACTTATTAAGTAGGCTGCGTCGAGCTGGCCTCCCAAGCTCTGACCTTGTCACAGTGTATTGTGGGTATATTCGACCAATAGTTGAATATGCCACGCCCTGTTGGAATGCGGGTATCACAAAAAAACAATCTGACAGCATAGAAAGAATCCAGAAAAGGGCATGCAGAATCATGCTGGGTAGAAGCTATCACTCGTATTCCGAGGCCCTGTCAACTCTTGACCTCCAACGTCTGTCTGAACGGAGACTGACCCTGTGCCGGGCCTTTGCCCTTTCAGCCACTAGGTCTAGGCACGCCCCCTGGCTACCCCCAGTTAGTAACCACTCACACAACATGCAGCTAAGGCAAACACGTCGCTACAAACCACCCATTGGGACAAAAAGATATTTATGCAGTCCTGTCCCCACAATGCTGAACATACTGAATAACCTTGCCATACAGTAGATTTCATTTTATGTTGTTGCACATGTTGTAATTGTACCTTTTATTATTGTCAGTTGTACTTAAGTAATTTGCCAACAGAAGTTGTATGATGTAATTTTAGCATAAATGTGTATTATTCTAGCGTATAAGTGGTGTTTAATGCCTCTCAAGGCACTTTTTATGTATATATATTTGTATTAGTCATGTAGTTTTTAAAAAATTTGTAAAAGCTTCTCAATTCAGCCTTTGGCTGCAAAAAGCTTCTAACCTACTGTACTATGTATGTATGAAGTATGTGTTTCTGCAAAATAAACCAGTCTATATAAGGGACCATTTCCATGTCACTACAGAACTTTGTTCTAGATAGATTTCTTTCTTTCTTCGCGTGTTGTTCAAAACTACAACGTATTGCGATGTCCTGATTAGCTCACCTTCTAAGATATTGAGAACAAGAATCAAGATTGCTCCCCCTGAGGGAGGCGGTGACGTCAGCAGGATCAGTCCACCCGGAAGTGACGTATTGAGGGAGACCCTAACTTCCGCCCGGTAGTTCAGTAGGTCCTGTTCAGATATGATGCCGCCTATACAAACATAAGAATATTTCAAAAAGGTAAAATAGCATAAAAAGCCGTCTAATAAATATGGTAAAGAAAGATAAAACAAGACTGGCAATGAAAACATACATTGCCATGGCGACGGTGGTTGCTGTTAGGGTTATTGTTTGCATGGCACTGCCATCATTTCATGATTTTGAGGAAGACTTGGTATCTGTTACGTCTAGACAGATACAGTGTACTCCTCCCCTGAGTGTATAGTGAACGAGCCCCGGGGTCACCGAAAGTAGGGCCATCTGGGGCAGACAGGTCTTCCCAAGGGTTCCAGGAATGTGGGCATAGATGTGTGTCAGAGAAATGCCTGTGGACATTCCATTCCTGTGGACAAAATGCCTGTACCATTCCTAAAATTCTTGCAAACTGCACACAATACTGTACCATTAGGCTCCTCCCTGAGACGTCGCCAAAAATCACCTATAAGCAACGACTTACCTTGTTCCCGGATGTCCTTCACCAAATTCTTTGCAATCTCGCCTGTGTAGAAGGCATCTGCACCACCAGTAGCAACCGCTAGGAGCGTTTTGGCAAGCTGTGGCCTCTTGACGGTCATGTTTTCACGCACCATGGCGCCGTCCTCGTCACAGAACACGTCACTGCAAACAACCATGACCACAAGACAATTCAGAAGTCTTAAGAAAGGGGGCGGGGGAATGGAAGAAGGAAATTAGACCATAAGACGACATTAGTTGAGTGATACTACATGAACACGTGAATATATTGTATTGTATTTCCTTCACTTACTGTGTCATTTACTCTATTACATTGACATGGTTGTATTTTCTGCCTGCAGTTCTTGTTGTCAGGGAAATTATATTATTATTAATAATAACAATAAGTTGGTGTTGTATTGTATGTTTTCTAATATCTGGATCACTAAAACAGCTTATAGTTCCTGCACTGTGCTCATTTAGCTCTACTGCGCGTATCGCAGTAATTTGAATAAAGAGAATCATTGGCTGAAAACTTGCCAGAAGCCAGAGTTCCTTTGCAGGACGACGTATTTCCTTGTCCTCAGGCCTAGGGCTCTAAGGACGGGATCTAAACTTCGATTTTTGGCTAAAAATGCAACTTTTTTTCACCCCTTTTTGCCAATAAAATCATATTTTTGACATAATAAAGAGAATCATCAGCTGAACGAAATCTTGCCATAGGCCGTTCTTCCTGTCCAGGACGACGTCTTTCCTTGTCCTGAGGGCTCTGGCAAGATGTGTGCCCACGCAGGTCCCCTCCTCTGCCAGGCGGATGGCGGGGCGGAACAGGTCACTCCACGGCAGCTGCCCGTACCTCTGGTGAGCCTCCCACAGACCCCGGATCTCACCTGGCACGGCGACTGAGATTCCTCCTGGGGAAGTCGTGAGTAATTGAGGTGTTCAAAAATTTCCTCAGAACTATCGTACAGTGAAACTCGTTGCCACCAAGCACAGCAAGGTGTTACTGCTGAAGTGTTACAAATGACAATGCCACATAGAATTGCTTCATTTAGCCATGAGCTACGATAGAATTGATACAAGGTTGACTTTTGTAACGTACCCATTGTATATAGTTCCGGGTTCTCTGCAAACATGTCTTCCGAGGCTGCCAAAGGAGCAGTTTCACGCGCGTCGATGACTTGTGACGTGCCTGTAGACTTGTTGTATACGGTCATCAGAAAACCCCCTCCGAGCCCCAGGGACTGGGGATGCACCACCCCCAGACAGAGGAGCGTCGCGATGGCGGCATCCACAGCGGAACCGTTCACTAGCACGTCTCTAAGGCATGGGGAAATGGATCATGTCAATCAAACTGTTGCAACAAGTGCAATAGTCGGGTCGTGTTAGCCTCTACCAGGCTTGGGGAGGCGGCTGGAAAGAGAAGAAATCGGCCAAATTGAGAGATAAGCAAGTTTGTCCGTTGAGAGGACATTTCGCCGCGGCTAGGGTCGTGTGGCGCGGACGGCAGCGCGTTTGGCTCACACCCAAGAGGTCGCGAGCTCGAATCCCATGTCACCGATCTTGTGCCCTCGAGGAAAGGCACTTTCCTCACTTCACTCAGGTGGAAATGAGTACCTAGCTTCGGTTAGGTATGTCCCTCGGATAGGACGTTATATGGAGGTTTAGTGTTTGGGGAGAGCCACCCCCCACGCACGTCAAAGAACCCACCGTACTTATCGACGTAATTCGTAATCGGCGGCGAAAATTTGACGTAAGGCCACACCAAGTAAATTTTATGGATGACGTCCTTTGGAGACCGTATATCTAATGCGAGAGGGCGAAAAAAAACAAGAAGGGCCCTAAAAAACAAGATGCCTAGATTAGAAATATACTAAGAGACAACAAATGTTAGGACAACAATTGAATGAGGTGACACAGATTAACAAGCAAGAAGTATTTTATTCATCATCAAAACAGCAATAAATCAGGTGGAACAGCAGTTGTCGTCCTGTCCTATTTCTTTCATCACATTTTTGCAGGCCGGCAGAAACAAAGCATAAAATTGCGGCACTGTCGTCACTCTTTGGTCATAGTTAAAGGAAGCGGAATTTCTTGTTTTTTTTTCTAGGAACAGGTCAAAATCAATGCGCGCGAGGACGTCATCCATAAAATTTACTTGGTGTGGCCTTAGTTAGAATACTGTATAATACATTTTTTTAGGGCTAATGGCATTCCTCAATCTGAATGATGAATTTCAATTCAATCATCTGGCCCCCAAAGTTAGAAGCCATGATATTTTGATACCTAATGGTTGCACATTAATTTAATGACACTTAAGAGATCCTGTCACAAGCCTTATGATGGCCATCTAAGTTTTTTAATTTCAATGCATTATTGAAGTAAAGGTGGGTCAGT